AAGATTATCTTCTGTGTCTGTGTTAATTGGTTTCCCTTTTCTTTGTTGAAGAGGGTCTGTGCAATCCTTCTGCCTAGTCCGCCATCTTGCCGGAACCGTCCCACTTGCAAGCTTTTAAGACTCCAGTCACTACTCACCAAAGAAGGATGTAGAATAATGTTTTTGTGTAGTATGTTATGCCAGTTGAGCTTGATGTTCCCTGTAACCATGTTTTGGTTACCTAGTGCCACTCTGACAGGAATATACCACAAATGAGTTGGGTCAAATAAATAGGAGTTTATTCTTTTACAGTTTGGAGGCTTTAAGTATGAGTTCCAAGTGCCAGGCTCTAGGGACTGGGCAAAAGCCCCTCAACCTTGGGCTTCAGCTCTGCCTCCTGCTCCTGGCCCACTGAAGCTAGAGGCTTTTCTTCACACAGATAGCTGCTGGCTGCTGAGACTGACAAGCCCAAGGTTGACAAGTAAAAAGGCACAGTCTCAATGTTACCAAACCACATGGCAGGCCATTAATTCAAATCCATTGAAAGTCCCAAGGTTGACAGAGCATGGTAGACTGCTGAACAACGACACAACTACATGGAGGGTTCAAGCATGCCATAAGTTGGTGATCATTCCCAAAGCTACTTCTTATATACAGGAAGCAGACCACATCCCTAAAGCAGCTACTCAGCTGCTTGTGGTAGATTCCACCATGGAGTTGGTTGCCAGTCTCATCATGGGGAATAACTACCACCAGCTGCCCAGCCACTCAACCAGGCCCAGCCAACTTTAACTACCACAGACCATGGTCCTGCACCCACAGGTCCAACTACTTGCTCCCTTAGGGTGGTTGGCTGTGGCTAAGAACTTATCATAACTTTGCCCATTGTTAGCTATTATATATATATATATATATAGTTACAGATAAGGAAAACCAAAGAGTAATTAATGCTTCTTAATTGTGGTGTTAGCAAAGATTGAATGTACCATGGACTGCTAGAAGAATGAATAAATCTGTTTTGGAGGAAGTACACCAGAATGCTCCTTCAAAGTGAGAATGGCCAGACTTTGTCTCATGTACTTTGATCATGTTGTCAGAAGGGACCAGTCTCAGAAGGATTATCATGGCAGGCAAAGTAGAGGGTCAGTGAAAAAGAGAAGCCCCTCAATGAGATGGATTGACACAGTGGCTGAAATGATGGGCTCAAGTATAGCAATGGCTGTGAGGATGGCTAAGGACCAGGCACTGGTTTGTTCTGTTGTACACAGGATCACTGTGAGTCAAAACCGACTCATCAGCACTTAACAACCACAATGGTAACAAAGTAAATGTCTGCCTTGAGTGTTAGGCTCTTTTAAGAGCTATCTATATGGGATCAAAATGACAACAGCAACTTGAAAGATTAGATAGAAACCTTAGGAAGAAGTGAATTTATGTTAATGGAGGAAGAACAGTGGAGGGTGAGAATGGTTTCACAACTTGAAGAATGTGATCAATGTCACGGAACTGTACATGGAGAAATTGTTGAATTGGTGTATGTTTTCTGTATGGTGCATGTTATTCTCAATAACAAATATAAACTTTTAAAAAAAGAAAACATTTTGTATTGCTGAAGTTCTGGAAGGACTTGTCTGGAGTGAGGAGGGAGGTCATCTCTAATTCATATGGAGTCAGCTGAGGCTGAAGGAGACACTTCCAAGTTGGCTTCTTCCTTCACACATCAGGCACCTTGATGCTCCTTGACATGCATGTGTTTCTCTCCCCCTTTCTGTCTCCTTCTCCTGGACCTCTCCATATGACTTAGTGTATCAGAGGCATCACATTTCTTATATAACAGATGGCTTCCAAGAGAACAAGGAAAAGCTGCCAGTTCACTTAAAGGCAAGCCCCACATAGCGTCACTTCCAATGTATTTTATTGGACAAAGCAAGCACAGATTAGACTAGTTTCAAGGAAAGAGGAAATAGATCCCATCTCTCAATGGAAGTAGTATCAGAGAATGTGTACCCATCTTTAATCTACCACAAGAAGACAAAAGGATGACATTTTATCATTTTTAGTAGTACAAACCACCACTATCTGACTCCCTGACATCATATATATATATATATATATATATATATGTATATATATCCCTTAGGCTGGCAGTTCAAACCCACCAGCCACTGCTCAGAAGGAAGGTTGGGCAATTCTACTTCCGTAGTGATACTGCCTTGGAAACCCAAGGAGGGTTCGCTATGAGTCGGGGCTGACTCGACAGCACATAACAACAGCAACAACATATCCCTTACAATTAGTACTTCCATTGCAAGAAACCAAATATCTGACTAATTGTGAAGAACGCAACCATAGGGACACATGATATCTCACACAAGTTGCTCATCAGCCACAGAATCAAGGATCCCAAACTCTCTCCACTTTCCTGCTCCCAAACCTCAACATGCTTGTATATCATAACCCCAAGATGGCTGACATAACTCCTGACTATACATCTTAACACAATATCAAAATTCAGGAAGACTTGGGAGAGCGTTGCAGCCAGCAAAGTTCACCTCTCCTATCTGTCCTTTTTATCAGGAAGCATAATTGTTCCCAGAAGATCATCCCTTACTTTTCATTAGCTGGGGCTGTGTCACATGGCCACCCTGGTAGAAAGGGAGACTGGGACAAAGAGTATCTGAGAAATGGGAATCAGATCCCTGTGACTAGCCTCCTAAACAAAGAAACAAGAAAAGACTGTGGAATGATTATTGAGTATGCAACACAGTGTCTGCCACACTGTCTCAAACCCTAAAAGTCCCAAATTTCCTGGGTTTTTTTTTTTACATGATAGGAGGATTACACATTTTTCATTACCTAATTGTCACCATTGTAGAAGAACTGCAGTGACCCTCAAAATGGAAAGAAATTAACAAAACAAAAAATGCCCTTCGCCTCATCCCAGATAAGTCCTTCCAGAACTCCTGAACCAAAAAAAATTATCAGCAATACAAAATGGTTTGTTGTGGGTTGGGTTTTGGGTGTTTTTTTTGTTTTTGTTTGTTTGTTTTTAATGTCTTTTTCTTGAAGAACCCAACAAAAGTCAATGAGGAAAGGAAAGAACAAAGAGAACCATTACCTAAGCTGAATTTTCTTGAAATGCTAGGACAGACCTTGGAGAAAGAAGGACAGATTCTGGCACACAGTAGATGCACAATAAATGTTTGTTGACTGAATAACTAAATGTATCCTTTGTGTTCCAGATGTTAACGAATGTGAAGCACCCTTTAATGTGTATTGTGGAATAAATGCTGAATGTCAGAATGTTGAAGGAAGTTTCCACTGTCGTTGTGTCTCTGGATACAGACTCCTTTCTGGGGGAACACAATTCAAGAATCTCAATGAGAACACTTGTCAGGGTAAGAAAATCTTTGTCTTCTTGTCTCTCTCCATAATTTTTGTTGAGTCAAACACCAAAAAAAAGATGTTCTTATTGTGGGACCAGGATGTGTTTCTATTTTTTGGTGGAAAATGGACAAAGGAAAGAAGGAAACTCAGGGAAAGAATGACGTGAGGGAGGCAAGTGGTGTTCGGAGATGGAGAAGTGATGAAGTGGTGATTGAGGCAGGATTCTTCAGATTGCAAGAAAGAAAAACCCACACAGACTAACTTAAGCAGAAAAGAGCTTATTGTAAGGATGCATGGGTGTATCTTGGAACTCAAGGACAAGAATACAGCTGGGTTTCTGGAATGAACTAGAACTACGAACCCAGCACCACCAAAGTTCACCCTCTTCCCCCCGTCTCTCATCCTCTTTGGGTCTGCTCTTTTCTCTTTTTTTCGCTGTAGGCTGGCTTTCTCTACTTCTTAATCCACAAAACAGAAAATATGGCCACCAACAACTCCAGATCTTGCACTTATTATTGATCCAGCCACCCAAAACCAAATTATTCAACTCTCTCTTTAGTTCAGTTGCAGATTCTTTGGAAATGGACCAATTAGTCCACTTTGAGTCATGTGCCCACCCTTGGATCTCTACCCAGGTGCATGTGCTGTGTTGTGTAAACAGGACCATTCTCAGAAAAACCATGTGGATGAGAAAAGTCTACATACAGAAAAGATATGCTCTTGGCAGGAGCCCACTAGATGTTGGCTACAGTCAGAATCATAAGAAAGAAACATTAAATTTAATTTAAACTTTAAATACAGTGATGCAAATAGCTTATATTTATTTCATTTGTACTATGTGCCAGGTGCCACACTAAATGCTTTTTATGCATTGTTTCAATAATCCTAAGAGGTAATCACTGTTTCTTTATTACAAATAAAGAAACTGAGTTATCAAGAAGTTCAGTAACTGAAACAGCTCAATTAATTGGTATAATATAGTTCATAAAGTATATATTCTACATCCCAGCCTGATGAGTAGTGTCTGGGATCTTAAACACTTGTGAACAATCATCTAAGATACAACTATTGGTCTCTACTCATCTGGAAGAAAAGAGAAAGAAGAAACCCAAAGACTCAGAGAAGAATGTAATCTATAGAACTAATAGTAGACAGAATCCATGGCCTCATCTCCCCAGAGACCAGAAGAACTAGATGGTGCCCAGCTACCACTACTGACTGTTCTGATCAAGGCCACATAAGATGGATCCTTATAAGATGGGAGAAAAATGTGGAACAGAACCCAAATTATTTGAAAGCCCAGACTTATTGGAGCAGTTGAGAGTAAAAGACTCTCCAAGACTCTCTCCCTGAGATACTCTTTAAACCTAAAACAAAAATTATCCCTTGAGGTCACCTTTTAGCTAAATAACAGATAGGCTCATAAAATGAAGAATATCACCTGTGAGTAACGAGCTCCTTTAAAAAAAATCGTCTGTGAGCCCCAATGATCACAACTTACTCTAAAGCAGAGGTGGGAAGGAGAGA